CAAACTGTTAGAAGTGCTGGTCATTTACTTGCCATTCCAGTATTTATCTTATGTTTTAATCTTAGTACTTCTTTGTTATCATGAAAACATTTTCTTAGTTTCATTGTTTTAAAACATTTAATTTTTAATTAATTAGTATTTAATTTTCTGAATATGCTTAATCTTAATTTTTGTTCTAAGATTTATATTATCTTTGACTTACAATTTATTTGAAAGACATTGTATGATATCTTCTAGTATTAGAAACTTTAAAAAGTATAAAAAAATAAATAAAATAAACTAGGTATTGTGAAAGAGAAAATAAAATGGGTTGGCAAAGAAATGTTTTATAAAAGTCAAATAGTAGGGCCGGGTAGATGGCTCAGTAGAATAAGCGCTTCCCTGGCAAGCGCAAGGGCCTCAGTTCAATCCCCGGTTCCACCAAAAAAAAAAAAGTCAAATAGTAAATACGTTAGGTTTTGTGAGCCATATAGCATCTACAGCACCAAAACAAGCAGCAAGCTGCATCCGTGGGCTATAGTCTGACTACTCAGGTTGTAGAATTGGGCTCTTCAACCCCAGCAGTGCTGACAAACAGAGCTGATGTAACTGCTGCCGAGGGCCGTCCTGGACACTGCAGACTGTGTAGCAGCCTCTGGCCTCTACTCCCTAGATGCCATACCATGCCCCCAAGTTATGATACCAAAACCGTCTCCCTAGAGTGAATCACCCTCAGTTAGGAACAATGCTCTAGAGAAACCAAGCATAAAAAGATGTAGCTTCAATTTTCTAACAATTACCCTTTCAGGGAAAACTTATACACTAAAAGTATTTGTACTTACTTGGCTAGAAGTCCAAAACTCAGAAATAACTTTATAACTTCTGTGATACACACAGCTGTGGTTGAAAAGTAGAGCTCTCTGTCTGTTGTCCTTGTGTATCTTAAAGATATGGTATAAGCTGCAGCCACCAGGGTCATCACTGTCAAGCAGTATAATTTGAACAGTAAACTGACATTTTCTGGAAAACAGGTGCAAAAAAATATTATTTAATAGACAATTATGTACATAAAATCTAATCATATACACATAGCAACTCCCAATAAATGTAATCCTTAAGTACTACAAACGGCCTAATAAAAATTTTAAAATTTTAAAAAGCTAATCAACTAGTTATAGCCCAGAATGCTTTCCAATTTCAAGCACAAAACATTTTTAAACCCATGACATTTAAAATCCTATTTCAAACCAGTATCTCCCAGTTACATGTAACAAGTCATAAAACACAACTAACCTTAAACATCAATACAAGAAACACTGTTGTTCAAGTGCTCCAAATGCACGACTGTGTACACAGTAAATCTAAGATGATGAAACTTACATATTTTGATTAGAAATTTGTGAAAGCCACACATGAAAGTAGTGTACACTTCAAATTCACAAACAGCAGAAACAAAGCTAAAAAGGAGTAGGTGTGGCTTAATATAAAACTTTATAAATGTAAAAAATACCTGGTCTCTCATTTTATTGCAGATGAGAATTCATAACACAAAACAGTATTAACAAAGCAGTACAAAACTTGAAATGCAGGAACTGTAAACTTCGGGACAAGTGAAGAGCTGCCTGCAGATCTACCTGAGCAGCAGCGCCCACTGGCGCCAGAGCAGTTCAACACTCTCGGTAAGAACCGAGTACTTCCTGCTCCGATACTCCCACCACCAAAGGCTCAAATTATTTCTACTTTCCAGACAAAATTAAGGATATTACCTGGAGAGAAAAAGTCACCACAAATGTTTTCATTAAAGTTAAGTACAATCAATGTTCTGCAATATAGATTCACTAACAAGAACAACCGAATTGTTTAGGGGAGTTAACGTCTCGTTTACTTGGTGTATGAACTTAGTGGTCTGTCATCAAAGCAACTGCAAAAATTCATCTGTTTAAAAATTAAAAAAAAAAATCTTTCTAAAGCTGGGCATGGTGGCACACACCTGTAATCTGAGCATTCTAGGAGCCTGAGTCAAAAGGATCACAAGTTCAAACTCAATCTAAGCAATTTAGCTAGACCCTATCTCAAAATTTTAAAATTTTCGGTGCTGGGGAGATAGCTCGGCAGTCTAAACGCCCGCCTGGCAAGTGCAAGGACCCCAGTTGGATCCCCAGTACCACATGCTGTGCCAGCCCCAGAACCATGGGTGCTGGCCCAGAAACAAGGCATGGTGGTGCACACCTGTAATCCCAGAGCTGGTGAGGCTGAGACAGGAGGAGCACTAGGAATCCAAGCTGCATAGGGAGATACTCAGCTTTGGCCGCCCACTGGGCCATACTCTGGCAAATATGGGTTAAAAATCAGAGCTGGAGTGGCTCCATGGCTACTAAAGCTACCTTAAGTACTAAATATCCTTTGGTTCACTGCTCTGGAAGCCTAACCACAATTCAAAGATGCCTATCACAGGGCAATAAAAGGAGTAGTTTTATTGTACTGTAAATATAGCAACACAGGAACTGAACAAGGAAACAGTTTCTTAGTATATAGTCTCCCTGACTGAATTAAAGTATAAATTGTAAGCAGTAGGCATATTTTTAAGACTCATGTAATATTTTGATCTGAAGTTGAATGTCAGAGAAAACGATGCTTAAAAATATTCAATTTTGGGACTGGGGAGATAGCTCAACGGTCTGAGCGCCTGCATAGCAAGCACCAAGGACCACCCCAGGGTGCAAGGAGCAGGCCACCAAAACTGGGCGTGGTGGTACACACCTGTAATCCCAGCACTGGTGAGGCTGACAAGAGGATCACTACAAGTCTGAGCTGCATAGGGAGACCCTGTGCCAACAATACAAATTACAATTTTTAAAATAGGAGAAATAGAGCTCTTAACTGCCTAAACATTCTTTTCAAAATCTTTGAGAAACCAGCAAGCAATGTTCATGTAAAAGAGACCAGTACAATACTTCCTTTGTTCTAAAACTTTCTTATGCATGGGGAAAATTTATGACTTCAACACTAACACAGCAATGACTTTAATCAGTACAGGAGAAAACATTTTCCTAGATCAGAAGTAAGTAAACTATAAATGTCACCCATTTGTACTTGGCCTGCAAGCTCACAATAGCTGTATATCTTTAAATCATCAAAAGTATTTTATGACACATGAAAATGATAAGGAATTCCAATTTCAGTGTCCGTAAATGAAGATTTGCTGGAACCAGACCCCACTCATTTCCTTCCAAACTGCTGGCTATCCAGTATTTTGCCCTAGTACCTGCAGAGTTGAGTAGTTAGGACAGAAAGCAGCAGCCCTGTACAGAAGGCTTGCTCATCAGTACTTCATAAATAAGAGCAGTTAAGGCAACAAAACTGCAGCTTCATTAGAATTACTGGAATCAGGTTGCTGATTCCAAAAACAACATTGAATGTTTAAATACTAATCCTAATTTTTATAGCCTACAAATATATCCTGTCAACTTTGAAAAGATAGTGTTTTCACAGCAATTATATGGAAATATACATTATATTCTTGAAAGTACTAATTTAACTAGAAAAGTAGTAAATGCAGATATCTGTAAAATAGGACTGATAAAACCATTTTAGAAATACTACTTCAACTTTTTTAAAAATAATGTTTTTAAAGCATGGCTTTTTCTGACATTTTTACCCTTAGATCAAAATATTTCTTCATTCAACTCATAAATTTTCCCAACATGAAATGTTAAGGGGTGGGGAATACAGCTCAGTGGACAGCACCTGCCTGGCAAGTGCCAAGTTGTGAGTTTGCTTCCGGATACCCAAAAGAAGAAAGAAATTTCAATTATTAAGAACTGCAAGTTTTACAAGGTAACATAAAAAGTCTACAGCATTTAATTAAGCTTTCTGGTAATTCGAATCATGCCCAAGGCCAGAGCTACAAGCCTAGCCCACAACTCAAGTGGTTGATGTCACATCTTAACATTCCCCTCCTCTTCTCTCACAGTTCCCATTAGCCCCCACACAGCTCTTGTTTCTTCCTGGGAAATGTCCCCAAAAGAAAGTAATATGGTTTATAAAATTATATGCTTTTTGTTGTTGGATTTAATGGGGGCACGTAACACCTAAGAAATTGGACACTCAGGAAGTGCCAGAATCCTTTGTAAATATCAAACTACGGAAACTGTAATTTTATTAGGAGATAATTTGTACTGGCGTACAGGATTTGTATAGCACAATCATGAAACATGTACAAGCAACAAGCCTACATCTACGTTACTCACCTAATACTGTAAACTTTAAGTGCTCACTCATCATTAATTTTGCTATCCTAGTCTGTTGTTATCAAAATATCATTTTTCCTGAACCTGTGTTGCTACAGAGAAACTTCTGAGACTTGGCTCGAAGTGGGGTAATGGCTAAGAGCAGAATATGCACGGCCTGATGATCAGTGTCTCCCCAACCAGGAAAAGAATTTGGCTCCCACGTAAAAGAATATTAGATGTTTGCTCAATATTTGTTTAGCGATGAAAGCAACTGTTCTCTGCGGAAAGGGTGTTGTCTAGCCTCTCCTCGCTGGAGCACAGCACCAACACCCAGCGCTACTCCCAACTTGTACAAACCGCTAGCAAAAAACGAGTGCCTTGGAGTGAAGGTGGGAATTAGTCACCAAATGTAACTGCCCCAAAGCGCCGCGCGGTGGAAGTGGGAGGTGGGCTTCCCCTCCAACCCAGCCTGTCAGTACTCGCTCAGCAGCGCACAGCCCTGTCCTGGGATGCCTCCCAAGGACCGCTCTGCTCGGTCTCCGGGTTTCAGGCTGTTTTCTTGCTCCGGCGAGGTTTTCGTGCTCTGCAACCGAGCGCAACTCTGAGCCTCTACGCATCCGCGGGGCAGGAGTACAGGGGACCGCGGCCGGGTGGCGCAGCGAGGCCGGAACGCCCGGAGCACTAGGTGGGGCCGGCCGGGGGGCAGACCTCGGCTCCCACCCCGCCCGGCGGCGGGGCGGCGCTGCCTCCGACCTACCGACCGAGGGAGGGACCGCGGCCGCAGCGGGAAGCCCGCGACACCCGCAGCCCGCGCGCCGGCACTTGGCTCCGCACCAAATCCTGACACCCGACGCCCCGGCACGGCCCGGGGCCCCGCGGCGCCAAGGGTGCTTCGGTGCTTCGCCGCGTGACGGGGGCAGCCAGTGCCACACTCCAGGTCGCCCCCGCAGACACCCACCTCCCGCGGCCCCAGCCTCACCTCGCTGGGTAGCCATGACGTCCGCACCGCCGCGCGGCTCCGACGCGCACCGCACCCCACGCCCCCACGCCCTGCGCGGGCCCTGGCCCCGCCCCCTCGGGGGTCATAGAGATGGCGCGCGGCCTAGAGCAGCCCGAGGCCTCCGCCCCGCCGCGCGCTGTAGTGGAGCGCAGGAATCTGGGAGGCTACCGCAGAGAGGGCGAAGGGGTGCTCTGCAGAGCCGAGACCGTGAAGACCCTTGCGGAAAGCTGGTCCCGAGGACTGAGTCTAAGAAACCCACCTCCAGGCCAGCTAGAGAAGCGGAGTCGAGGGCGCCGAGCCTTCTGGGAGTTGTAGTCCTCGAGAAGACGCCGAGGGGCCCGGGAGGATTCCCGGCTAGACTTCGTACTGTAATTGATTCCTGTACGAGCTGTGCGGGAAGATCCCAGAATTCATGAAGTAACAAATCACTTTCATCGACTTCTATAACTTCCACTTCGCTTGCCTCTTGCATATAAGTTTATGTCGTAGGTGAGTTCCCTTAAGCTGTCTGGACATTCTAACAGTATGCTGCTCAGACATAAAAGGGCCTCAGAAATAGTGAATGGATCAATAGGCACTCCAGCTGCTATAATCTTTACATGAACTAAACGTTTTTAAATGCTATAAAAAAATACTCCAGTCCTCACAAGAATACAAAATTGTGCCATGCCAGGTAGCCTCCACCTTCTGTAGCATGATTTTCCCCCGAAATATCTTTAAAGAACTGAGGGATAATGTTTCACACCACTGCATTGTCATCATTCATACAGGTATATCTCATCTGTGAATGGGAAATTTAGCATACCTTATTAGCATAACATTAATATAAGGAAGTGTTATGAGAGACTACAGTTGGCATTGTCATTTGATGGATCTCATTTTGAAGCAATGGTAAGTCTTCCCTTCTCTACCTGTGTGTGCTCAGAGGGGCTAATCCCCTCTTCCTGGAATGGATACAGTTTACACTTGGAGAATTATTCAGCCCCTTTCTGTGTACCTGTACAGATAGCTAAACCTAAAACGCATGTATGTGCTTGAAATTAATTTTAAGGATTAAGATTTAAATATAAAGATTAAAATACTATATGTTACTTTTTTTCCTTACAATTCATTTTGGAATATTATTGTTTTCAACTTGCTTCAATTAACTATATATATTATTTTTATGATGCATAAATATCCAAACGTGACCTTTGTAAACCTGCTTCTTTACAACGTCCTGTCAGCTGTTTGAAAATTTTTCTTTTTAGCAACAAGCAGTTATAATCAATGTTAATTTCCCCCTGTCCTAGGTCATGGGATCAACTATATTTTAAGGAACTGTAGGTCCTTCCTGGAGAAAACAGGATTAGACACATACTTATGCACTAATCACAGCTACATATTCTTGGTCTCCCAGGTTAAGACCCTCAGACACACTTTGATTTTCCTTTTCCTTTCTTCAGACGTTATTCCCTCTTAATTACATGTAACATTTGTCCCTTCGTGCTGTCCGTCACTAAGTACCCCATATTCTTGCAATACCTTCCTTGTTATCGCCCCACTCCAGGGTCAAGAAATCTGCAGTGGTTTTATGATGACCTAGGCAAACTATTTCTTTGCTTCTCAAAGTTCTCCAAAGAGTATACCAAATCTACCCACTTTCATTTCCAAAAAAATTGTTCCCCATTTCCCTTTTCTTTTGTAACATTTTACTACTGAAGTCACCAGCTTCCACCTTGACATTAAAACACGCAAGCAGAACCTGCCTCTGGGCCGGCCAAAGAGCTCAGCGGATTAAAGCACCTGCATGCAGGCATAGGGGCCATCGGTGCAACCCTGCTGTGCTGGCCCCGCCTCCAGGGCGCCCAGAGAGGGTGATTGAGACTGGGCGTGGTGGCGCGAGCCTGTAATCCCAGCATTTTAGAGGCTGTAGTGAGACCCTGAACACCCTGTAGACCTTTCCCTAAAAATACAAAAACAAAACAAACAAAAAAAAAACCCTGCCTCTGGTCGGTCCATTCATTCTTTTTACAAATTCATCCATCCTACAAGACACTACACAAATGTCAAGGATGTAAATATCACTAAAACAGTTTTTTTTTTAAAGAAATTCATAACAAAAAACAAAGATGGACACTAATTAAATGCTGTAATAAAAATATGACTAACATCCAATGAAAATCCTAGAGGAACCAGTTCTTTCATGGTGGATGGGCAAAAGCATTGCAGAAGTAGTGAAATCTGATCAGGCTGTTTGAGGGCAAAAAGAATTTCATGGGGTTACTATAGAGTATGCTGTAGGTGAAGCACATTCTGTAAAATATATGGTGATGGAGACAATTATGAGTGAATCCATTGAGGTCCAGAATACTAAATGTTGCATGTTTTTTTCTCTTATATAGGCAATCTATCAATAAATTCAAATAAATAAAAGAGGGAGAATCAAAATGGCATTACAACAATCAGCAGCAAAATATAGCCTCCCCAGGACCCATAATCCACACACTGGGAAAGTAAGAAAGAGAAAAAATGGTAGAAAAAAAGGAAGAAGAAGGGAACTGAAAAGAAAATTAGAAACTACATAGAAGTTGGAGAAACACTTCTTATATATTTCTTTTTTTCTTTCTTCTTCCAATGGGTGGCATGCATATATTTGGTGATATGAATAAGAAATTTGAAGATACCACAATGCATTACAACAAATACTATGAAATTCCTATTATTTTGTTTAGTGACATTCTGTATCATTTGTCATTTTTCTCTGCATTGTTTCTCAAAATTTTATTTTGAGCAGTCTGGGAAGGAGGACCTGTCTCAGCAGATACAGGAGAAAGATAAACTTCTAGAAGACCTACTTGTATGCTTTTGTCATGATTTTCATACTTTAGTTTAAAGACAGGCTGGCTGGCTGCTTGTTGGGGCAAAGCTTGGAGAAAAGGAGAGGGAGACGTTGCTAAACGTCATGGACTTGATGTCAGCTGTTAATTAACCTTCATTTCACAATGTAAGATTCCTAAGCACAATAAAGAGTGGCTGTAAATCACCAGGTGGCATTATCTTAGGGCTAAAACTAGCATGCTCAAAGGAATGAAAATATCAAATTAAATTTAAAAAGTAAAATTTGCTCTCTTCACTGTTGTTCTTCTCTCAGACACCTTTTTAATATCTATGGAAAATGGATTTTCAAACACATTCCTGTTACAAATAGCATTTAACCCACATAGAAAACAAGTTATACAAACGTCTTAGTTTGAAAAAAACAAACAAACAAAAAAGATCAGCTCATGCAGAAAAGCTGTTACATATAAGTCACGTCCCTACCCCCAGCCCTGGCCTGTTAAAGTGAGCTTACTAAGCCCTCTATCTCAAACTGTTCTCATCCATGAGATGTTGTCAGAAGTGCGTGAAACTCTGTCACTAAAACTTAGTTGTCACTAATTCACAGAGCCCTAAACACAGCTGCTCCTCAAGTCAGGCAAATAAGACAAAGGAGTGAGATGGGCAGCAGGAACTGGGCTGGACAGTGGAGGATGAGTGCTAGTCCTGGGAAAGGGCAAAGCTACTACTTACAGGAATGCCAACCAAGTGCTACTACGTAGATATTCTGATTTTGTTTTCAAAGAGCTGGAAATGTAGATTTTGTGTAAAACTCCATGTTTTAAAAGGTATCATGTGGAGCTTTGCTCCAAGTCTTCCAAACATCAAAGTTTTATCATATCATAATGTAATGAGTGTTAACATTTAGTAGTTAAGAAAGCTGAAAATATTGTTTGGGTTTTACAATTTTAATTTTTCATGTTACAATATGATTTTAGAGGGGTCAAGGAGATGGCTCAGTGGAATAAGCGCATCCCTGGCAAGCACAAGGGCCTGAGTTCAATCCCTGGTTCCACCAGAAAAAAAAGAAACAAAAAAAGAAAATGATTTTAGAAATAAGCCTTCTAGTCCAGTCATCATAACCTTACAGTATAAGATTATCAAAATGGCATTATAATTTCAATCTTATTGCCAGACTTGGGCTGGGGAACTAGCTTGGCCGTCTTAGCGCCTGTCTGGCAAGCACAAGGACCCGGGTTTGATTCCCAGTACCTCATGCCATGCTGGCCACTGCAGCCAGGTGTGGTAGTACACTCCTATAGCCCAGCACTGGGGAGGCTGACACAGGAGGATCACTAGGAGTCCCAGACGCATAGCAAGACCCTGTACCAAATAAATAAATAAAAGGTTATTGCCAGGATTTCTCTAAAAGATAAAAAAGATACGTGGGCAGAATTTTTTTCAATTTTAATAGGATGAAAATCATGTTACAGAAAATAACTTTTAGCTCTATGCAGTGTATTTGAAACGATATGAAAATCCACTAAACATCCACACTATCAGTGAAGGTGGCACCCTGCCAAAATTAATTTTCATGGATATAAAATACTTTGCAGTATTTGTCACTGTTCAAAACTGAGGAACACCTCTGAAGATGTCATCTCTAGGTTTCTTCAACAGCTCTAGTTAGGTTCACCTTGACCCCATGGGTTACTTTGCTTCGTCCACCACGAAGACCAGAGATATAAACCTGGGGCCTGGGCACTTGCGAGCCATCTTCCGTCATGGACTGGGTGCCAGTGTTTTTTGGGGGGTAAACCTGTGAGCTATTTTCTCTTCTCATGTGACTGAGATCTGTCTGTACTGAGTGAGTAATTTTCTGACGTAAATTGGCCTAAGTGAAAACAGAAAACAGGAATTACCATTTTTCTAAATATAAACAACATACGATATTGGACAATAGTTAATATCTAACCGTCATCTTCTCAATCCACAAAGAAATTAATCGGATAACATGTTTCTTTAAAACATTAGAATATTAGGAAATGTAGGCTAGAAGAAAAAATTAAACAACCTGTATTAAAAAGTGGGAAAATACATAAAATGATGCAAATGAAACCAAAGGGAAATATACTAGATGCACAGTTACAGTGAGCTCAATTATTTGTTAAAACAATTTTGTAATTTCTTCATTGTTATACTTTGAAATTTGTACAACTTGGAGATTTCCATAAGTGAAAGATTAAAATTTTTTTTAAGATTAAAATTTTAAGAGTTAGATTATCTGTACAAACTAGGCTTCGCCCTTAGTTTTCACTCTAAAAAGCTCTGATGATTTCATTTTAACCTTTTGCATTATTCTTCACGTTCCTTACTCCATGTATGGATTATTACTAAACATGAAGTTGGACAGATCGCATGGCTGGAAAGCAAGGAACAGCTCATGAAAAGGAGAAGGGCTGAGTATCACCAACCCAGTCTGGTCACGAGATAAAGCTGAGTTTATTGTTTGTGCCTTAACAGAAAACAGTGCCTCAAAGGAAAAGTGGCAAATGCAGAATTCACTGAGAATTTGAAGTTTGTTAAGGCAGTGCCTAAAGTAGGTTGAGGGTTTGAATAGGGCTGGACGAGAAAAAAGCCATTAAGCCTTGGCATAGCTCAACAGTACAGCACCTGTCCTGGATTACATCCCCAGTTCCATTTAAAGAAAAAAAGTATGTAAGTGTTAATAGGATTACGGAGGACAAGAAAAAGCTCAGGAGGCATTGTACCATGTGTGAAGCAGAGAGGCAGAGAGACCTGGAAGCTGAGGAAATATTCAAAGCCCTCCCACCCTCCACACACACTGCTTATTGCCCACTATGATATGACTTCACTACTCTATTGTCTTCAATACCATAATTTTACTATTCTACCAGACTCTTGCCCACTCAAATAACTTGACTATTGATTACATATCACCCTGAAAGTTGAATCACTTTTCCAAAGTGTGGGATTAAATACAGGATCTCCCCATGCTTCACAAGTAGTTCTACTACTGACCTCCATCCCCAACCCCTTTGAATCCTTTGCCTCGAAAAATCCCCACCTTACTATTCTCTCCAAGGCTTAATGGCTTTTTCCTTGACCAGCCCTATTCAAACCCTCAACCTACTTTAGGCACTGCCTTAACAAACTTCAAATTCTCAGTAAATTCTGCATTTGCCACTTTTCCTTTGAGGAGACGTTTTCTCTTAAGGCACAAGCAATAAACTCAGCTTTATCTTGTGACCAGACTGGGCTGGCGATACTCAGAGCGTGGTCTTCAACATGATGCAAAGCTCAGGGACCGTTAAGTCTCAGGTGGGAATAAAAAGCAAGCAGGGACTGTGTACTGGGCAGAGAGAGATCAAGCAGCATGAAGTTTTGGCCCTCTGACGACTGCGTTCTCCTAACATTTCCAGTCCGAATCACATCATTTGCTTTTGCGCTCCGACCCTAGCCCGCCGCTGCTCCTGTGTCTTTGCATCTCAAGACCAATTTCAAAATGTCACCTAATTTAATTTACAAGTTCTATTTCATGTTGTGCTAGTTACCAAAAGGTACTGAAATGTTTTACTGTATCAATATTCCCTAGCCTATAGCCGTGACAGTACAAGGCAGTGGGACATGTGTGCTCCCCACTAAATGCATGATGAACTCCAGTGAGCTTAGTAGATAACAGAACAGAATATGGGCATTTCTACAAATGAGTAAGTAGTAGGAATGAGAATGGAACAATGACTGGGATGTATATGTGGAACCTGATCCTTCCTAAGAAATCAGGCAATTGCAAATCTACCACCAGAGAAGGTAGCCATGGAAATGTAGTTAGAAGCCCAGAGTCACGGATTGAATACCCAAACAAAATGAAGGCTAAACCTCATATGACAGCAGAACTCTGACTCACAGCCTCTACACCAGTCAGGTCAGAAAGCCAAATTGGAACCTCTGAGCTGGGCATGGTGGTGCACACCTATAACACCAGCCTTGGGAGGCTGAAGGCAGGAGGATCACTACAAGTTCCAGGCCAGCCTGGTTATATAAGGTAGTTCAGGGCCAGGGTGCACTACATAGTAAGACCCTGTCTAAAAAAACAAAACCAAACAAACAAAAACTCACAACCTTTTCTCGCTGTAGCTATCAGGCCAGAATGGCTGTATGTTGGCCACCAGCCCTTTTGACTCCACCTCCCAAGATCAGACCCAAGCAGAGAAAGCCAGAAATGCTCACAAAACAAAGCACACAGAACACTCTGCCTCTCTTAGCTTGCCTCCACTTCCGCAGTCACCAGCCTCTAACCAGAATACATCTGAAGTTTCCCTTTTTCTCACTGTAAAACTTTCCTATTTCCTAGCCTGTTTTTTCCATCTGCCAAACACAGGTCATGATGGCTGAGTCCCTCACTGTTGTAGGCTCTGAAGAAACAGCCTCTGTGTCCTGATTTGGGTGACCTTCATTTATTTCCATGCCTAAAGACATGGATAAAATACACTAGAAAAAAGTTACAGATGAATTTTTAATTTCACTCACACTATAAGTATTTGTTGTTTGTTGTTTAAAACGATAAGGTACTACAAAGAGGGGCAAGTTGGGGAAATTCCCTTGAGTTGGAAAGGTATGAGTTTCAGACACAGACTTTAAGGCACCTGTTCTGCTTAAGATGACTGAAAATCAAAAGGATGCAGGAGCCCAGTCTGTTCAGAACAGGAAGACCATATGACCAGACACTCAGATTTAATAGAAAAAAATTCACTCCCAAATGGAGTAGGCCTTAAATGATTAGTAGTTAAGAAGTTCATTAAAAGGGCCAGCCAGGTAGCTCAGCAGACTAAAACACCTACTCATGCAGAGCGCAGGGGCTGGGGTTCCATCCCCGTGTGCCATGCTGTCCATGCCTCTGGGGTGTGCTGAGATGGCGATTGAGACTGGGTGCAGTACCCTGAGCCTGTAATCCCAATGCTTGGGAAGCTGAAAACAGGAGCATGTCTATGAGTCGGATCTACATAGTCAGACCCTGTAGACCCTATCCTAAATTAAAAACAGTAAAAAATAAAATAAAATTCCCCAACATATGAGTAATGTTAGAAAATATAGTTACCAGTTTTATAGCTTTTCTTCTGAGTTCCCATTCATTCCACTCATAGGATCGCACAATGGTTGGCTGCAGAATGTGTGTATCTGTCTGTGTGCTATTTTCACTCCTGGTAATCGGTTTTATGTAATGTTTGTCAACATCTCTCATCTAAAGAAATGAAATTTTGTAATTAGTACTTGCAAGACATAAACATTATTTAGTAAGTTAGTAGAATTTTATTTTATTTTACTTATTTATTATTATTTTTTTTTTGCAGTACCAGGGATCAAACTCAGAACCTTGCACTTGTCAGGCAGGTGCTTACACTACTAAGCTATATCCCTGGCCATAAACATTATTTATAGAGAAATATTCAGTTAAAACTGCCAACTAATTAGAAAAACAAGAACTTCAGAACGTAGAATACACATAGAAATATCAACAGTGAGAATAAACTCATAATAATTGAGCTGATGGAATTGTTTTATTCAGCACTGTAGCTTTGTGTATGATTCTGTAAAGTTAATGTAAGAAGTATATTTGGGGAAGGAAAACATCCCCATGCCCTTCTTTGTGTTCTCCAATTGGTAGCATAAGTGAATAACTTGTTACAAATCGACAGAATTTTAATATAACTATTACACCGTGAACATGGGGGTATACGCCTGTAACCCTAGCACTGGGGCAGAAGTGGCAGGAGGATCTCTGTGATTCTGACAGCAATCTGGGCTACATAATGAGACCCGGTCTTAAAAAATAAATTTACATATTAGGTGTTGCTAGGCTTTGTGTCTCATTGTCTCCCCAAAGCCTCATGTAGTCATTGGGGCAAACTTCTAGAGTTTGTGATTAATTCATGATCCAACGCTGGGATTATGGGTGTGAATGCTACACCCGCCCAAGGGTGAGTAATCTCATACCACATGGGGAAGAGAGACAGGCCTGCCAGCTGCCACAGCGCTGCTCCTTCTTTGCCCTTTGCTGTTTCCCACCACCATAAACAGCTGCTCTCTGCCATGTGCCCCTCTGCCTTGGAGCCAGCCAAGTATGGAATGAAACCTCTGCTAACTGTGAGCTAAATAAACCTTTCCTTCCTTCATTTTGGGTGTTGGGTATTTTGTCCCAGCAAGGAGAGAAAAATAACCAAGAGAGGTATAAATCACATTGGTTTAAACTATCAGTATCCTTTCAGGACACACCTATGCATCTGAAGCACATTTAACAATATTTTGGGTTTTTTTTTTTTTCCTATTGGACATCTAAAATTAAATGTCCAGGATTTCAGTTTAACCAAAAGATAGCTGTTCTACATATGATTTTGTTGGAGGGAGTAGAAGAAGTTGAGGAACTGGGGTCATAGTACAGAAGAGGAACAAGATGTTAACTTCTTTTCCCAAATCCAGTACCAGGTTATTATGAAGTGTCTGCCATTTGATATAAGATCTAGGGGCCAAAGAGATAGCTCAGTAGAATAAACGCTTGCCTGGCCAAGCGCAAGGGCCTGAGTTCATTCCCTGGTTTCGCAAAAGAAAAAAAAAGCATGATATAAGATCTAGATTCTGCCTTTAAAATTATGACTATATCATAATTTCTGATCGAAAAAAACACACTAAAAATAACTAACTGTGCTGTTTAATACAAGTAAATAAGTAAGTAATGAGGCAGTAATCCCTCCATGGAATATAGAGAGGGACAACTCACTTTCATAGGTACTGTGTACGTACCACGCTTTCCTTTTATCAGTTCTAGGCTCTCTTTTGCCTTTGAGTTATTTTATAGCTCTATAAATGTTGAATAAGTAGTAACAAGATCAAATAATTGTCTACCGACACATAACATTGGTCCTATCCTTAGAGATTCAGCTGACTAACCTTTAAATCAGTATTGTCTTTATTTATACACTATTTGAATATATCTGATCTATAAATGTGTCTGTTAAGAGACTCACTGTTTTTATTTTATTTTATTTTTTGTGTTTATTTATTTAGTTTCTTGAGACAGGGTCTCACTATGTAGTTCAACCTAAGTGGAACTCGCTATGTAGCCTAGACCAGCATCAGGCATGCTTTGATCCTCCTGCCTCAGCCTCCTAGGTGTGGGGATTCAGGCATGAGTCGCCTCACCTGGCTCAGTATTCCCTTTTAAACTGACTATAACATCTACCAGATTCCCTTATTGATTAGTGAAAAGATTATACTCTAATACATTTCCAGTTTCAATGTCTATGAAAATCATGATTTTATTCATTTTTTTAAAAAAACACTCTTAACAAGTTAAAGACCAGGGTATGAAAAATTCTGAGACCAATATATAACTCACGATTTTTCTGAGAAGTCATGGTAGGAATTGAGGGGAAAAATCATATATTGATTTTTACATATCATATATATCATATATATATATATATATACCATATATATGATATATATAATATATATCATATATATATCATATATATACCAGGCGAAGAAGTTTGGATTCCATCATATAGATAAAACTCTACACGGGGACCAGGGTTCGACCCCTGGCGTGCTGTGCTGGCCCTGCCCCCAGAGCACGCTGAGACAGCAATTGAGACTAGGCATGATGGTGTACACCTGTAATTCCAGTGTTTGAAAGGCTAAAAATAGGAGGATCACTATGAGTCCAATCTGTTTAGTGAGAACCTGTAGACCCTGTACTAAAATACAAAAAAAGAGAAAAACCTTGTAAATTCATAGTAAAATGGTAAATAAGTTTGTTGCAATTTGAAGAAAATCTAATTATTAAAATTTTCCATGTTTTGAACTTTTATAATTTTTACAAATAATTGGCTTTTTTAAGATCTTCATTATAGTACAGAATTTGAGCACCAAATAATATATATTAAACTTAAGATAGCAACATTTTAAATTATTTAAGTGTATTGGTACATTTTAGGTACAAATAATAATGACATTCATCATAGAGAATTTGTACCTATATGTGTTATAAAATGATTCTCTTTTCCCCTTCCTTCAACTCCTTTTCTCCTCTTTATTTATAAAGGTTTTATTCTATTTCTTTCTTTCTTTCCTTTCCTCCTCCTCCCTCCCTAGTTCCCCTTCCCATTTCAACACTTTCTTCCTATTTGACAATATCTAGTGCACATTTTGGTCCTTATTTATACTTTTGATATCTCACATCAGAGAAGCACTGTGATATTTATACATGCCCCATTTATTTCACTCAAAAGTATGGTATCAAGGTGCATCCATTTAGCTAGAAATGGCTTAAGCTTATCCTTCTCATGAAGATTTCTGCTGGAAGACGGGATAGGTAGAACTACTGAAGACAGTATAGGCAAACTCTTTCTGTAGAAAATCCCAACTGCGTAGGAACTATCACAAAGAATCAACAACTGGGGATGTCATCTTATTAAAAAGCTTTTGCACAGCAAGAAAAACCACGAGTAGGCTGAAGAAACAACCCATAGAGTGGGAGAAAATTTTGGGCAGCTGTTCCTCAGACAAAGGACTAATATCTGTAATACATAAAGAACTCAAAAAACAAAAAACTAACAAACAAAAAAACAAAACAGACAGCTGCTCCCAAATTTAAAGAACTAATCCCAAAATAAGCATCTAAAATAAATACACAATTCTCAGCTGAAGAAGAAAGAGCAAACAAATATATGAAAAAATGTTCAACATCACTGGTCATTTGAGAAATGCAAATTAACACAATGCTGAGATTCCATCTCACTTCATAAATAATGGCCATTATGAAGAAATCAACTAATATCAAATGCTGGTGGGGATGTGGGAACAAAGAAATCCTTCTCCACTGATGGGAAGGTAGACTGAAAATCAGTGTGGAGCTTCCTCAAAAACTAGGACTAGAGGTTCTATTCCACCCAGCTGTTCCCCTTCTTGGTATCTTCCTGAAAGAATGAAAAGCATCGCACCCCAGTGACGCATGCACACCCGGGTTTACAGTGGCACACTTCGTAATGGCTCAGTCTCGGAAACAGCCCAAATGCCCATAACTGGTGAATGGATAAAGGTGGTTTTTTTTTATATGTAATGGAGTACTATTCTAAATTGAAAGGGAGGCAATTCTCCCAAATTCATTGCTAAAGGCAAACATTATTCTGGTACCAAAACAAGAGAAAGAACCAACTAAAAAAGAGAACTACAGGCTAATCTCCCTAATGAACATAAATGCAAAAAAAAAAAAAAAAAAAAAGTCCCCAACAAGATACTGGCAGCAGAATGGAACAAACGATCAAAAAGGTTATACACCATGACTAAGTAGGATTCATCCCAGGGGTACAAGGATGGATCAACATATGCAAATCAAAAATAAAGTATACCAAAAAAAAATTTAAAAAAATAAAGTATACCACATTAACACAACTGAGGACAAAAATCACATGATGATCTCGATACACAGAAAAAGTTTCTGACAAGATTTAACATCCATTCATGATAGAAAAAATAAAAAACCCTACTCAAAAGATTAGAATAGAAGGTTTTTGGGAAAAGTCCTCTATAGTAAAGCATGAGTCAATATCTTATTAATGGTCAAACACTGAAAGCTTTCTCTCTAAATTCAGGAATAAGACAAACATGCCCACTAACTACCACCATCAGTGTTCAGTATATTTCTTGAAACATTAGCCAGAGCAGGAAAGAAGTTATCATTATTTGCAAATTACATAGTACTCTATATACAAACCAAAAACAAAACAAAAGAAAAACATCAAAAAAACTCCTAGAATAACCAAATTCAGTAGCACAGCAAAATACATAATCAAAAGTAAAAAATCCAAAGAATTCTTGTATATGAATAACAAATTCACTGAGACAGAAATTAGGGAAACAACACCTTTAACAATAGGATCAAGACAAATCAAATACTTAGGAATCAATTTAACAAAGCAAGGACATGAACTTTGCGTGGAAAACTATAGTACTGTGAAAAAGGCAACCCAAGGGGATATCAGAGGATGGAAAGATATGCCTTGTTCTTCAATTGACAGAACCAAACCAGTGAAAATAGTCATGCTTCTAAAACTGTTATACAGAGTAAAGAAATCTCAATCAAAATACCAACAACATTCCTCACAGAATTAGAGAAAACAATCCTAAAATTTATATCTGGAACTAGAAGAGACCCAGAATAGCAGGAGCGATTCTGGGCAACAA